GGGTAGGCCTTACCACAAGACCTCTCCTGGGCCACACCAAATCTACGCCTCAGATCACTTCACAATTATCTCCTCGGCCCACATCAGGTCTATCTCCAAGGCCTCCCACTCCCCTCAATGCGGTCCCGCCGTGGGTGCCAAAAATGTAACAGGCAGGGGCAATGCTCTTCCGATGAGGGTAGCACGTGTGATCTGCAAAAGCACAAAAGGGAAAAACTCCATGAGCCGAGGCTCAGTAAGTGTATCAACGGCACCAACACTTACATTAAACGAACAACAAGATGGCGGCCTCCACTCTGGCCGTTACACGTGGATAGTCAAATTTACTGTTAAACCAGGCGGGAGCGTCATATGTTCATTCAAACAAATGCAGGTCAATGTCAGAAAGAGGGAAACGGATAAGACTGTTCAAATCACATGAAAGAGTAAGATCAAATCCATGTGAATTAAATAAAACCATATTGTCACGCTACCGTCAGATTGGATTAAGGACCAATCACGAATCGGGACTGAGTTCGGTAAAATGACCAACTTTGTGCCAACAACACAGGAGAATGACTTGGAAAGGATTCACATGTAGAATGTGACTACTAACAAGCTGGTAGTAGCCAGTAAGAAAAACGTTTAGTTCGTACGAAACGTACACTCACCGCAGGGTTCGAGCTGTTTGCTTGACGAGCCCCCAAATTATTCTTACTCTGAAACATGGTTTTCCAATAAACACAGATATCGGACGTCTCTTAAGAGTCGTCCGCTGGCTGTCTGAACCCACACATCGCGGACAACACCGTCTTTGGAAAGTCGAGTTTCTTTAACAATACCCCTTTTCTACTCGCCTCTGGGCAAGTTCTTGTCAACTATAAGCCCCAGGTCACCGGTTTTCAGCTCCTGTGCTGTTTCTGTCCAACGCTGCTTGCTTTGCAGTAGTGGTAAGTACGACCTGATCCATATACGCCAAAAATTTTCAGTGAGATGTTCAGCTTGCCGCCATCGCCGATTCAGCTTGCACGGTTCCGTTTCACTTTCATTGGAGGATGCATTGCGAGAGCCAAGTAATAGATGATTCGGGGTCAGTACGGCATACTCGCAAGGGTCAGAGCTATTCTTCACCGACGGTCTGTCGTTCATGATTTTCTCTACCTCGGTCATCAACGTCAGGAACGTTTCGTCCGTTACGGATTGCGACCCGACCAAAGATCGAAGTATTCTGCGGATGGATCGTATGAGGCGTTCCCTGGTGGTCTCTGGTGTCGCTGAGATCAAGCAACGGCGAATTTTGATTCCGTTAATCTCTTGCAGTTGCTGGACCCGATCTGTCCATCGTTTATTGTGACAACTGTCGAGTTTTTCGTCCCATCCTAATTTCAGTCGGCATAGTTCTTGTAGCAACAGCTTTGCTGAAAGCAAGGCAGGTGCCACAAAGCCTTACGGGTCATACAACGAGGCGACGTATGACAGGATTGATCTTCTATCGATCACAGGTTCAGGTGGTATGGTAGTAAAACTGGAGGTATCCGACGTCGTGTTCCACTCGACGCCGAGAGTCTTATACGTATTTGATGGTTTCAAGTCCAGACACAGGTTTTTGTCGGCCTGGTCTTTGACCGGTACATCGATGAGGGCATCGGCCGAGTTGCTACGCCACTTCGTCAGGTAAATGCCCAATTCCCGGGGCGCAGACTGTAAATGGCTCGTCACTAGTCGGAGTTCGCTAACCGATTCGCAACTAATGAGGAGATCGTCAACATAAAAGGACCTTTGCAAATACTTAGGGTCAAACTCTAATGATTGGTTCGCGTTATTGGCCATTGCTCTGTTCAAAGCGAATATGGCACAACATGGTGAGGAGGTCGCTCCGAAAGGGTGCGCAGTAATTTGGCATATCTCTGGCGTACGTTCCAAGTCTCCTTCTGTCCACCACAAGAACCTAAGGCAAGAACGCTGATGTTGAGTTACCCTTACTTGATGAAACATGGCTTCAATATCCGCCACTACGGCGAAAGTGTGTTCTCGAAACCGTGTTAATACTCCGCATAGGTTATTCGTGAGGTCTGGGTCGGAAAATAACTGAAGGTTCAAAGAGGTGTTCCGATATTTACTTGCACACTCGAACACAACCCTTAGTTTCTCTGGTTTCATGGGGTTGATTATATGGTGATGGGGAAAATACCAAACTTGACCCGAGACGTCTTCTATAACATTTTGACACCTTTCAGCGTAACCTTTGGCTATGTAACTATTCCTCACCTCCGCGTAGCGTTCTTTAAGATCAGCGTGTTTTATTAGTCGAGTCTTCAACCACAACAAAAGTTTCCACGCTATCGACTGGTTGTTCGGAAGGCTTAGGCAACCATCTTTCCAAGGCAACGGGACTTCAGAATGACCGTTTAAGAATCGAGTAGATGATTCTAGGGTTTTGAGCACTTGCTTATCTTCTGCTGATGTTGATTTACCCAAAACTGTAGATTCGTTGAACTTCGAGGCCCACATAGCCTCTAACCGGTCCATAAGAGGGTCACCCCCATTTATATAATCAACGCGAGCCTTTCTTTGGTCATGGCTAAAGGCTGGTCCCACGACGGTCCAACCGAGGGGCGTACGTATAGCGTAAGGATCCGCTTTCCCACCGTATCGATGTTCTAGCACCCAATGCGCCGCTGGTACATTCATACCTATCAGTATTGATATCCTCCCGCCTTCAATTGTCGGTAGGTTGATGTCGCGCAGATGAGCCCAATCGTTAGTTCGGCCAGGAACAAAACGTTTTAACTCGGGGAGCTGTCGGACTGTCCAAGCTCGATTGATTTCTATAAGCTCTCCTCCTTCTAAGGAACATAGCTGAAACGCAACCACCTCAGAGTTTGTCTCAGTTGTCTGTATAATGGTTGAAACTGAGAGCATGGCTGGTTGTCCGGATAAACCCAAGTCATTCGCCAGGTTCTTGTCTATAAGTGTGGAGTCGGAACCTCCGTCTAGGAACGCATAGGTTTTTACTGATCCTAACGGCCCGAAAACCTTGACTGGTATGATTCCCAAAGAGGTTGTACGATTTCCAGCCGAAGTCGCATGACAACGGGCGTTGTCTTGGATAGTCGCCGGATTCCGCCCCGTACTCACTGGGTCCTGCGGGTGTAGTAAGGGGTGGTGACCCAGCATACAACGTCCTATACCACAGGTCATGCATGATCTGCAATTGACGGACTCGTGGTTCGGTTTTAGACATAAATGACACAATTTTTTAAACTCCACAAAGGAAAGCCTCTCCGGTACACTCCACGCTATGAACTTCCCAAACTGGTCCGTGTAATGGTCTCCCTCGCACTGCATACAGCACCTGCGTGCTATTGTTGGCTTAACAGATGGAGCTATAGATGTTTGTGAGTGATGCAGTAACGCTTTGTGCGGTGCGTTTCGATCAGCAGGAGGTCGTGCTTGTAAGTTCGGCCAAGTGACAGAATAGGATTGATGAACCATTTGTACATCGGCCCTCTCATCTACAAATTCCGTCAAATCCGAGAAGGTTGGCTCTCGGCCTAGTCGTATGATAGACGTGGCGACCTCAGACCACTTAAACTGGAGGGCTTGAGGTAGTCTGCGTATTTCCGAAAGCGTTCTAGAGGCGTTGAGGTCGGCAACACGATTTATCTGACTCAGAGTGTTTTGGCAGTTCCGCATTTCCCCGGCCAATTTCATCAGCACCATTGGGTCCATGGTTTTTTTGATGGGCCCATCCACGAGGCTATCTAGGTGTGCCCTGGCTATCACGTGGGCTTGACCAAACCTCCTACGAAGAATTTCTAAGGCGCCTTGGTATCATTCGCTTGGGTCCAGGATAGAACAGCTCTCGATGGCTTCTTTAGCCTCACCCTTCCAGTAGTGTATTATATACGATAGGCGACACTCGTCATCCATGTCCCGTTTCTCAATGGCACTATCAAAACTTCTCATGAACAGCCAATACTTTTTCGGGTTTCCATCACAATAAATTATTTCTCTTTATGGTAAAGTGAATGAATGAGATATGGATGCCTGACTAAACTTCTGACAACCAATGGTCTTATTTGATGGAAATGGAGGTGTATCAAACCCGGAAACGGCTGGGGCACTGGCCCCATATACCAATGTAGACAGCGGTTGCGATCGTTCGACCATTGGGGACTCACCACCGGGTTTCTCTTCGACTGTGGTAGCTCTTGCATACTGATCCTCATATTTTCCACTCTTCATGCTTAACTTGCACTCCAACAACCGTAAACGTTCTTTAAATTCCTTGAACAGATCCATAGTTTCTTCTGACTCAGTCGTGTAACGTTCCAGATCGGGGGCCGATAAAGACATGTCTGAATTGGTCTGCATTGCTTGGTGAATTGGCTAACTGTAAGCGAAATCCTTTCGACCGTCAACTTTGACCGTTTCGAGTGAATTCCACTCAGATTCGTACGACCTAGCTGCTTTAGGCCTTTCTAGGGTGCTCCTTCTCGGTGTGGCTTACTTCGTGTCTCGAACAAATTTCAAAAGACTTCAACCGATAGACGTATTAATCCGAAACACGGTTCTATAATCAGTACAACGGAAATGAACAATGAATAGACAAAACATACAGCCAAATTTTGAACCGAGCGAGACACAGATCGTGTGTAACAGGCAGGGGCAATGCTCTTCCGATGAGGGTAGCACGTGTGATCTGCAAAAGCACAAAAGGGAAAAACTCCATGAGCCGAGGCTCAGTAAGTGTATCAACGGCACCAACACTTACATTAAACGAACAACAAGATGGCGGCCTCCACTCTGGCCGTTACACTGCTCCCCCCACAAAAGAACACTGCCCCCAGTGTTCCGTACTCCAACACACTACAGGAGCATTAACTCTCCGGGAACCACACCTTGGGTAGGCCTTACCACAAGACCTCTCCTGGGCCACACCAAATCTACGCCTCAGATCACTTCACAATTATCTCCTCGGCCCACATCAGGTCTATCTCCAAGGCCTCCCACTCCCCTCAATGCGGTCCCGCCGTGGGTGCCAAAAATGTAACAGGCAGGGGCAATGCTCTTCCGATGAGGGTAGCACGTGTGATCTGCAAAAGCACAAAAGAGAAAAACTCCATGAGCCGAGGCTCAGTAAGTGTATCAACGGCACCAACACTTACATTAAACGAACAACAAGATGGCGGCCTCCACTCTGGCCGTTACACGTGGATAGTCAAATTTACTGTTAAACCAGGCGGGAGCGTCATATGTTCATTCAAACAAATGCAGGTCAATGTCAGAAAGAGGGAAACGGATAAGACTGTTCAAATCACATGAAAGAGTAAGATCAAATCCATGTGAATTAAATAAAACCATATTGTCACGCTACCGTCAGATTGGATTAAGGACCAATCACGAATCGGGACTGAGTTCGGTAAAATGACCAACTTTGTGCCAACAACACAGGAGAATGACTTGGAAAGGATTCACATGTAGAATGTGACTACTAACAAGCTGGTAGTAGCCAGTAAGAAAAACGTTTAGTTCGTACGAAACGTACAAGTAGAATGAACGATATGGGATCCCATAAAATTCGGGTCGAATGAATTGGCTGAATGGTTGCTATGTAAAGCACCCGGTGACCTTAAACTTCTTCTCCCGCTATGCACGTGGAGAACCTGTTGTTAAACGATACACTGAGCTATGCAAAATATTGTGTCCCGTCCAGTGTTCTCCAGGAGTGAGTTTCTATCACCATAATGTCGGTTCTGTTCGTTATCAGTAGCAGCAGAACACATAATTGTAGCAGTCCATTTATCTGTAAGCATACACAAAGAAATAGAAAGCAGCCAGCGAATAAGCCATGGTCAATCACATAAGAGGTGATAAACATTTCCTCTCACGTGCAAACAAGTGACCTCAGTCGATGCATGGAAAGATCAGCCAGTCAACAATATCCAAACTGAAGCAAGACAAAAGATAAATGCCCGGCAAGTGTACAAAAGGGATATTGGTTGGTTGTCCGAGTGGTAGGTATGACTTCAACCAGATCCAGCGGTATCACAGTATATCGATCTATCCAATGTACGTTACAACTTCAGGTTTTGCAATCGGAGGGAATCTTTCTACCGTAAGAGAGAGTAAACTTCCTCGAAGCTACACTAATTTACCAGATGGGCTTTCATGGTGGATATCCGTGGTGGATATCCCAGCAAATTTTAAAAGGGTACATGATGCTTGTTTTTGTTGTAATCACTGTACTAGGAGGGGCAGTCTTTTAGATGTAAAAAATGAAAGTGGATATTCCACTACTTGCCTACGTCGTTCTGGCTTATAGTACCATGGATAAATGATCGTACAGAATATTACTTTGGCTGAAAAATCCAACTGGGCGCTAGTGGAATGCGCATACTGGCAAACATGTTCGGTCTCACTGATTCCCAACCATGCTAATACCACACGATATACATAACTATGTGTGCACATGATTAGCAGGCGAATAGATCTGTATAATATGATTCTCCATGCAATTTTAACCCCTAAATCACCACCGTGAGAGCACTGTATAGCTGTTTCATTCTTGTTATGAAGGGTTCGAGTCCCCTTGGAGCTCGGTAGATGTACACTCCTTATGATTTCCAATAAAGATGAAACCATTGTAAAATGACCCCATAGTTTTCAGTGGTTTCAACGTTCACACTGCAAGGCGAATCATATTATATAACTCTATGTGACTGTATTCTCTACGTATTCAGTCGCCTACACTGAATTATACTGGGATGCACGGGAATCGCTGAAAATAGGTGAGATCGTCAATCCGTCATTTTTCTGCACTTTATTATTATTATTACTTATAGCGATAAACTGTACAAATTGCCTAATAATATCTCTTCAAAATACTGAAAGAATTGTGAAAGCACATTTATTTACATGTCAGATCCGAGATCCGTTGGGAGTGTATCGAAAAATCTATACTCCATGTGAAATGTCATGGTGAAATTTCATTGTTCAATGACACAACGTAGTCCAAATCGTTGATAGATTGTAGAGGTTTCGGTCAATACGGGTACCCTTTTTCAAGACTGGTTCATTCGCTTGTAAAACCAGTAGTGAAAAACGTTACCCGTGGTGACCGAAATGTCGACAACCTACCAATGATTTGGACTACACAGTTTTACTGAACAATAAAGTTTTACCATATTTGTTTATATCTGTACAAATTATTGCTAATTCGAACATTTGCACTTTCAATTTGACCATCCGATTCTGTTGTGATTGCTCAAAAATATCGGCAAATGAATATGGGCCTAGTCGGAGCATGATTGTAAGTCTGATGATGTGGTTGAGTAAATTCGTTCTATCAGAAAAGTGACCCATTGAGAGAGGTACAAGCAGAAGTCACATGACTTAACTGACCACGGAAATGATCGAACTTTCAGGCAGCAGTCGTCATATTTTCACACGTTCTACGCATAGTTAATGATTACATCAGTGTACGCCTAATCTAAATATATATGGACAAGGAGAAAGCTGTTGACTTCTTTGTTTTAAAATAGAATCCCCCGATCTCTAAAATGGTTTTGTTTCAGAACATTTTAAAACCGTTTCAAACTGAAACTAACAAGCAGCTGAAGAATTCTGTGACTACCAGAGACTGAGAACTGGCCTGGACCCTGCGAGAAAGTCAGTAGTTTTTCTAGCCATTCGTTGCTCAGTTAATGATGACAAGCAAAAAAAGTCTGCATTACATGTGCCAGTGATTTGCGGATAGTGGGCCCCCTGAAATGATAACACTGATTTGTTCACGGGTAGAAGAAGACGAAGTGACTGATCGTCCAACTGATCCTTTTGGATCGGAAAGACTAACGCGCGTGGCGTGCGCACTAATTACTATAATTCGGGTGTGACATTGGCACAGCATACTGATATATATATATATATATATATATATATATATATATATATATATATATTTCAAATGCCAGCAAAGTAACAAAACAAACAAAATTGCTTCTAGGTAGAACATTCTCTTTTAGTGCTCATGAATGCGGCGGCATAAGCAGCATAATCATCGCGATCTGAGCAAATAAAATTTGGCAATTGAAACATCTGCAAGCTGTAACTTTTCATTTGTTGAAATAATAACCTCTGGAACAAAGAGAATCCAATGAGGAAGTTATGTTCACGACAAACATCTCGCGTTGCCCACTGGTCAAACTGGTTTGTACTCAAGTGAGTCTCTAAGTGAGACCAGTATATCTGAAGGCGTAAGTTGCCATTCTAACTGGTTCACTGTGGTTAAACCTAGATCAAATAAAGCATCTAACTCTGTCTTATGCTTTTTGTTGCCGATAAGAATAATTAACAGAATCACAATGATAACTCCCATCTTCTAAAGCCGATCTAGGCATTCACGTGCATGCAGGTTTGTTGCAAGCAGAGCAGTGCCCCATATATTATGTTCTATGATACCAATAATTAGTTGAGGCATACGTTATCAAGTCCGTAAGAACTAATATACATTAAAGGAAGGACTGTGATTTTCTTTTGAGTGCGTATGGTCACACGCATGTCAGCTAATAGTGCTAGAAACAGAAAAGCCAAATTATTGTCCCTTTCTTCTGGATATGTTATGATCACTGGTTTGTTCCGAATAGACTTTACTAAATCATTGGTTCTCACCTTCAGTCACCGGGTTGTATAATTTTGTGTTCAAGTGAGACGTAGAGTTTGTGCCACACAGTTCTTCTGTTCGTACCTCTCTCTGTTTATCGCTGAAATTAAAAAAAAACAAGATGTGCCTAGCGAACATCAGCCGCACTGATTGATGAGGCAACATCGAGACTTCTATTCATCAGACATCCTAGTAGAACACTATATCAACAAAGTGAGGTCATTCTGAATGATACGCAGTTATTTTAGAACGAATATGTTGCACGAGTTTCCGCAAAACAAATAAACAGTTTATTATATGCAGATAACAAGAATAGAGAACAAGCTCGTTTTCGATGACTTCATCCTTGTAGCTAATACAGTTACATTTATAGGTTAGAAATGTATAAATTATGCACAATGTCTGTGTGTTAAAGTGTTATTGGATAGTCATCAAAGTTGGAGTTGCGTATTTAGGAAAGATAGGAGGGGAAATGCTGTTGTTTCGTGGTTGGGAAAGAGACCACTGAAACAATGAACATAGGTTTCGGAAGACACAAAATGAATAACATATCTGTATACTTCAGTCGGCCTCGAGCTTGCTGCTCTGATTGTCCATTGTCTTTCAGCAACGCGAGGTCATCGGCATATTCGAAGCAAAAACACTCTTTTCCTTGGGAGTAAGTTTCTCCACCGTTTGGAACACCAGATGAGGCACTTCGTAGAATATCATCGACGAAACATATGAAGAGAAATAGAGATTTGGAACAACCCTTTCGTGCTCCAACGGAGACAAGAAAAAGAGGCGAAAGCCGGCCGTTTTTTCCTAACTGGACCTGAGATCCGATGACAATTATTTTGGGACTGACACATGCTTGGCAAGTTTCCGATTTCTCGACAAACAGTCCCACAGTGTGAGCTTATTGACAGAGTCGGAGGCCGCTCGAATATCTAGGATCACGATGATGTTTGATCTTCGGAAAGTATATCAATGCAGTATCACTTGTAGAAGGATGAATATTAGATTGATATATGAAGGACCAGTTCGAAACCTAACACACTGCTCACGAGACTGCTCTTCACGCGTGCGGTAAAACCTGAAAAGCGTTTCACACCGTCCCACTATAATGAGAACTCAGTTCTGCTTGCGAATCGTCTCGTTTTATTTTTAAAAACAAAGAACATTTAGGTACTCAGTCCATGTACCCACTCGTTGCACACAGCGCATTGGTCCGACTGGTGTGAGCGACTACGCCTTGAGGCCTAAATGCTGCTGGCAGGATTTGTCTCAGATCAGATAGAACAGCTTGTAGGAATTTCCCACGGTTGCATCATAGTCCAGATTTCTCAGTCCCTACGAAGATTCGCATCAGGTGCACGCATAACTACGAGCCGTGTTCCATTATGCTCGCTTCCAGCCAAGATTGGCTGGAGTTCGTGAAGAAGACCTACAGATCTATCAGAAATCCTGGATACTGTGGCGAGAAGAGACAGGACACAAGGCACTAGACTTTCGGAGTGCAAAGCATTCTTAATAAGTCACCAGCATTCAGTGATGTT